TCTCTGGAAGGAAGGAAATGAAGAAGGGTGAAAGAGGAGGCAGGAGTTTGGTCTGGGAAAATTGGAAGGATGAAGAGTCATTAGGATGCTATGACAATTATAGAGTCAATGGGTGATAATGGATGAGTGGGATATTAGAAGTTATGAAGACCCCCCCAGGCTAAGAGATATTTGAAAATGGGGTATCAAGGGGAAAAGAAAATAATTAGGCATTAACATTAGTCAAGAGTAAGAGGCAGGAGGAAAAAAAGAGGATTCGGGGGAGCTGAAAGGCAACTTTCATTTCCTGTACAGTTAGAATTTTTCAATATTTTAAATTTTTCAAAAAATTAAAAAATAATAAATGAGAAGTCCAGGCTAGGAGAAAATAATTTCAATATAATTATCAGTGTCATTATGATTATATTAACTTTATCAAGTGCTCTTGATGTAGCAGGCACTATTCTCAATACTCCAAAATATTTATTATTTAATCTCACAACTCTGACATAGGTAACATAACTTACCTCCATTTTACAGATGAGGAAATGGAGTCAGAGTGAGATCACCTAACTTACAGTGGTAGAGATTTGAATTTACCCACTTACCCTCCAGGACTCTGGTAGCATAGTGCCTAAGGCACTTGACTGCTAACCAGAAGGCTGGCGGTTCAAAACCATCAGCCACTCCCCAGAAGGAAGGTTGGGCAATCTACTATCCTTAGTGATACCTACTCTGACTTGATGGCACATAACAACAACAACACTTACTCTCCAAAGCCTGCACTCTTTACCACTATATTGAACAGAATAGCAAAGAAACCAAGGGAGGGATTCCCAGGTCAAAAGACAATTACAATAACTATAATTTACTGGATTTACCACCTCAGGAAACCCAAAGGGGTTGCTATGAGTCAGAATCAACTCAGTGGCAATGGGTTTGGGATAATTTACTGGAGAAGCTTTCGTGGCACAGTGGTGAAGGCATTTGGCTGCTGACCAAAAGGATCGGGATTTGAACCCCCAGCTGCTATGCGGGAGAACGATGAAGCAGTCTGCTTCTGTAAAGCTTTTAAAGATTTAAAGGCCTTGGAAAGCTTATGGGGGGCAGTTCTACTCTGTCCTGTAAGGTCTCTACCAGTTGGAATTGACTTGATTGCAGTGTTGTTGTTGTTGTTGTTGTTTTTTTTAAATAATTGATTAGGTGGGGTTTAGACTATGGATGTTATCAAACTTATTTTTATTTTCATAGTAAAGGATTGCAAAGTAGGTATTTCAATCCCTTCCCAAATGAAGTTTCTGAACCCAAAATTATACACACATACACACACACACACTTCTGTTTATCTTTTTGGCAAGCTTGATAATTATGGTTTCAGTATAATGCAATTATAAATCACTCTTATCAGGAAAACTAGAGAGAAAAAAAAAGAGGCCAGGAACTGGGAAGAGAAATGGGAGGAAAAGCAGAAGGCAGAATAGAAAGTAAAGGTTTTGTCAGAGAAACTTCAGGGACAATAAAGGAAGTGGGGTGGGGAGGAAGTAAAGTCAGGTTTCAGGACTAACTACTGAGACTGTTAGGAAAGAGAAGGTTGAGATCCTAAGTTGAAACGGACTAATGACGGCCAGACTATAAAACTGTTTGGAGAGAGGAGTAAATCAGTATCTATTTGCTACTCTTAAATATCAAAGGTGGTGTTATGTGCCTTCGATTCAGACCCGACTCATAGGGTTTGCAAGGCAGTATCACTACGGAAGTAGGTTGCCCCATCTTCCTTCCGAGGAGTGGCTGGTGGGTTTGAACCGCCAGCCCTCTGGTTAGCAGTCAATGCCTGAGGCACTATGCTTCCAGAACTCCTAAACATCAAAGGTAGCCAAAGTATTCTCAATACAAGCATACATGCTACTGTTTAGCTCTGGGACCATAAATAGGTCCTGGGAGAAGATGGGATTAAAACCATAAAATCAGAAAGGCACTGAAAACTGGTCGGAACACCAGATTTAGGCATGCATTATGAGCCACAGTAAGAATGAATTCTTACTGGAACTGAGCAGGAGGAATCCTGAAGTAACTAGAAATCAAAGAATAGTAAATGAAAATTTATTCTAAAGTGCCAATTATTTCTCATTAAGATTCACGATAAAAACATTATATGGGCTTTACATATCAATTTATAATTTGGATCTTTCTAAGCCATTTTTTTTTTCTCATAATGTCTTCAGTTTCTAGATCATAGGCATTTTCAAAGCCACAAACGCTAAGTATACTGTATTATAATTATTCTCATAGTCTTTTTTTTTAGGGATAAAAGCCACAGTGGTGGCAGACTTTTTTTTTTTTTTTTTAATTTGTTTGATTTGGGTGAAGATTTACAGAGTAAATTCACTTTTCATACAGCAGTTCACATAATATACTTTGTCTCATGTCATTTATTCTCATAGTCTTGAGGAAAACCCCAGAGAGGTTAGATAACTTGCCCAAGGTCACTAAGATTCAAGCCCGATTCATGATTCCAGAACCCTTAATCTTTATACACAGGTGAAGCCGGGTCGAGATGCTGAGGATGGGGCGGCTATGGAGACCCCGGCCTGAGGACCTGCGTGAGGATTCAGCCAAGGAAAGAGGTGACGGTCAGGGGAGAAGGGGGCGATCCCCGCAAGGGGATGGAGATGGGCAGGATCCTTCGGGCTGGATGAGAGGTGGTGGGTGGTAGGGAGAGCCTAGGCCGGAACTGGGGATTTTACATAAGAATCGGCAGAGGGTTGATAAGGTCAAGACTTAGCCAGTGCCTGGGCGGTAGGTGGGGGCTCCGCGGGCCAGCCGAGCCCGGCGGGCAGACAAGGACAGACTGCCTTCCCTGCAGGCCGCCGGGGAGCGCAGGTGCGCAGCGGCCAGGCCTGGACTCTGGCAGGAGCGTTCCTCGCGAATCCTCCGGCCTCCCGGGTCCAGCCATCCTCGTCCCCTCGGGGTCTGCTCCTCAGGGGCCCTCGGCCTCTCACCTGCCGGGTGGCCGCAGCGCCGCCCCTCCTCCTCCATTTTGCAGCCCGAACCCCAGCTCTGCCCGCTGCCCGGGATAATGCTGGGCTAGAGGCATCATCGCCATCGCCGTCGCCGCCTCCGCGCATCCCCGGAGCCGCGGCGAGACGGGGGCGCAGAGGCGCAGTCACCGAGATGCTGAGCGCGCCGCCCCCCCGGCCAGACCCTCAGGGCTCGGCGCCCGCCCCTCCCTAGCGCCCGGGCTTCTGCCCCCGCGAGACCCCGGCCGCGCTCCCTCGGCCCAGGAGCCACGCAAGGGGCGCTGGAGCAGAGCGTGAGAGAATGCATCTCATGCTGGCGTCTTTGGAATTTGGGATCCCTGAAGAAAGCAACAGCTAAAGTACAAGGGAATTAGAAAGGGGCAAGCCAGAGTGGGTAGGAAGTAGTAGTTATGGCACGGTGGCACACCAAGACCCTTCGAGGCCTTCGCTTTAGGTTTAGAGTGGAGACGAACGATTGGGGCTGTCAGGCTCAAAGTCTGTCTCCGAGGGGCCCGAGGCCCTCCCACCTAACCCCCATTCCCTGTGCTTTCAAAGGGCCTAGTTCTTCACGAGGCTGCAGTGGCTATTTTTTTCCTCCAAAATTGGAGTCATCGTTCAGTTTGGAACTTTATATAGAGAATCTGCATATCAAGTCATTGTAACATAATTTGAATATCAACTTTATGTAAATTAAAAGAGCTACACATTTTTTTCCTCTCCTAAACTCTGAAAAAGGAGCCTTGGTCGCGCAGTGGTTAAGCGCTCGGCTGCGAACCAAAATGTCGGCTCTTGGAACTCGCCAACTTCTTTTCGGGAGAAAGATGTGGCTGTCCGCTTCCATACGAGAATTACAGCTCTCTGAAAATGTTCATGAATTTGCTGAGAAAACGTCGTGGTGGTGGTGGCGGTGCTTCAGGGAAGCTAATGCAAATAAAGAAGAAACTAGCCATATAAGCAAATAAGATACCCAAGAGAAGAAATCATGGACACTAAATCACCTTATTTATTTATGTATGCAGCTAGTCTAATTCTATCAAGCAAGAACACAAAAAGCCACCATCCTTCTCATTATTCTAAAGCCCATTAAAAACAAAAACACTCAAGCGCTGCTGTCCAGTGGATTCGGACTCAACTACCCAATAGGACAGAATATAACTTTGCCACATGGTTTCCAAGGCTGTAATCTTTAAGAAAGCAGACTACCACATTCCTATGTTTGCTATTCTAGGTACAAAACTTGGATCCCAGAATCTAACCTTGGAGTCACTGGGTGGTCAAGAAGTTATCTCCCTCTAACCAAAAGAAAAACCAGCCATTGAAAATTCTATGGAGCACAGTTCTACTCTCTAACGTATGTGATATCATGAGTCAGAATCAACTCAACAGCCACTTAACAGCAGAGCCAGTGAACGAAATTTTAATGCCCTTTGATAAAATACTTTGTGGAACTGTTACTATTTAAATCCTCTTTGGCTGAATATTTTTAATCTTTAGTTAAACAGAACTACCAACAAATAACCCAATAATTTATGTCTATATTTTTCTTAGTTCCATATGCTTTTATCAAGAGAAAAGTAAGAGAACTGGATAATTTATGAAGTAGATACTCAGTCCAACGGTTGACTATGCTATCAGTAATTGTTTAGAAATAACTTCAAGAAATTTCTCCAATTCCCATAACTTATCCTTCACTCCCCAACTACCTGCAACACAGCAGTTCTAGTATATGTTGTGTAATGGGATCTCGGGCCCTAGAAATAATCAAGAGAAAGGTATCTGTTAGCATTAAGACCAGAAACTCTGATCAAAATTAAATGGCTCTCCATATGATTTAGCTACTGCAAATCTAATTGGCAGCTCATTTCTAGGTATTTGGACATATGATAGTAGAAGAGATCAAGATACTCTGGGGCTAGATTGCAGGCAGCAATTAGACCTACAGGAGAAATTACCCCATGGGGGGGTGGGAAGCAAATCACAAGTTGTGAAGGATTTGAGAAAGCTAGAAGAGGAAATCAAAGACGACTTACCCAAATTCCAGAGCTAGTTATTTGTTGTTGTTGTTGGGTGCCAGTGAGTCAGACATGACTCACAGCAACCCCTCCTTGGGTTTCCGAGGCGGTATCACTACAGAAGTAGATTGCCCAAACTTCCGAGGAGTGGCTGGTGGGTTTGAACCGCCAGCCTTCTGGTTAGCAGTCAAGTGCCTTAGGCACTTCACTACCTGAGCTCCTAGAGCTACTTATTAGTAGGGCTAAAACTCCTTCTACTCAAATTATGTCTTAAAAACTGACCAGCTAAGAGTGACAAATTGGATTAGTAGTTTTTTAAAAAAAAAAAAAAAAAGACTATCTGCAAATAAACACATAGTCACCTGGGGCTGACTATTCCCCCCACACACACTATTACTACTACTACTACTATTATTATTCAAATATTGTCATTAACATTTCTCTTTTCCTGTGGTTTTCTTTAATTGTGATTTGGGTGAAAATTTGCACAGCAAATTCACTTCCCATACAACACCTCACACTTTGTCTCATGACATTGACTACAATTTACCCCAATGCAACAGCTCCCCTCCCACTTCCTCCTGATAGTTACCTCTTCCCTGTGTCCATCCCTCCATGCACTCCTGCCCCCCCCCAGCTGTCTCCCTGTGCATAAGCAGCCCTTCTATCTCCCATGATTGTTCTCTCTCCCATGATTGTTCTCTCCAAGGAGTGTATCTACCTCCGGTAAATATGTTCAACTCACATGCCTGTCTTTTTGTTTGGCTGGAAGCCACAGGTGTGGGTTCAATTCCAGACCTGAAGAGCTGCTAGGGGCCAGAGTCTCAGGGGTTCCACCAGGCTCTGCCAGATCAGCAAACCTGGCCCCCCTCTTCTTTTTTCTCCAAATGATTTTGAGGTTTGTTCCACACTGTTCTCCCTCTCTATACAGGATCTCCTACATAGATCTCCCTCCAAGTGTTTGACAGTGGTAGCCGGGCACCATCTAGTTCTTCCGGTCTCATAGTCATATAGACTGCGGATCACATGGTGTACCAGTCACTAGGACTAACTGTTTCCATGAATCTTTGGTTTTCTTCATTCTTCTTTGCTCTGGACAAGGAGAGACCCATTGTTGCATCTAGATGGCTGCTTGCAAGCTTGTAAGATCCCAGTCACTACTCGCCCAAGTAGGAGGCAAAACAGTGTTTTGTGTAGTATGTTAAGCCAATTAAGCTTGATGTCCCCTGAGACTATGGTCCCAAGCCCACCGGTTCAACTACTCGGTCACTCTGGGTAGCTAGCTGGCTGTGACCAAGAAGTGACTAAAACCTTCTGGGCTGACTATTCTTGACCCAGAAATCTCACTTCTCAGAATTTACCCTAAGGAAATACTTCAACAAAAATGTTTTAAACATGAAGGTACGAAAATGTCCACTGCAATGTAATTTGTAGTGGAGAAAATTGAATACAACTGATGTTCACAGTGGGGGAATAAAAACATATACAATATAGTAACAAGACAGAAGTGTACAAAAAAATCATGAAGAGTATGTAGAAAAAGATATTTTTCCCAACAAAATAAAACTCCTCATTGGTCCTTTCTGGCCACACTACAAATCACCAAAATTGTCCTGCAATTTAAATGACTTGGCACAGCCAATGCATGCATCAGTATTTCAAATATTTGAATAGAGCTATTTCATTACCCCATTTATAATTTTGGGGTTTTCTTTTTTGCATCTAAACTTTCAATCTTGTGCAACAGGTGGGTAAATTTTCCTCCTAAATTTCAAAAAATGTGCAAAGTTTTTTTTTTTTAAATTTAAAAAGAGCCACTTTTTAAAAGATGATTTATGTTTTTTTTCTAACCTGAAAAAAGGACATAGCTGATAGAGCCTGGTGGAACCACTGAGACTATGGCCCCTAGCTGCCCTTCAGGTCTAGAATTGAACCCACACTTGTGGCTTCCAGCCAAACAAAAGATAGGCATATGAGTTGAACATTTACCTGAGGTAGATACACTCCCTGGAGAGAAAAATCATGGGAGAAAGAAGGGCTGTTTATGCACAAGGATACAGCTCAGGGGACAGGAGTGCATGGAGGGATGGACACAGGGAAGAGGTAACTATCTGAAGGAAGTGGGAGGGGAGCTGTTGCATTGGGGTAAATTGTGGTCAATGTTATGAGACAAAGTGTACGTGAGCTGCTGTATGGAAACTGAATTTGCTCTGTAAATTTTCACCCTAATCACCAAAAAAAAAAAGACATAGGAGGCTTTCTCATTACCTCCCACCAACCAAGGAAATCTACACTGACTCATGTCCAATCAATTTATAACAGATATTTTAAATTCAGCTTTCAAATTCCAAATAACAGTCTATCACCACTCAAGCACATTGTACTGCTTTCCCGTAAGAGTGTTGCTGCTATGTCTGTAAGAATCATCTTAGACAACAGTAGCTATTCAGATCTTTCTTTTCCTTCCTTCCTTTTATTAGAGGCCACTGGTAGGAAATTTAAATCATCCCCTAGTTCACGATATAACCTGACTGGAAGAAATACTAAGTCAATAAGCAATGTCTAAAACTTGCCATCAGAATCACATGGAAAGAATGTTAAGAAATTCATGGAGCTTTTAAAATATACTGATGCCTGGGGTCTGCTCAACGTAATTCTGCTTATAAAGTACCCAGTTTACGAGCCACTGGTAAGGCATGGTTCCACACAGGTTAGAAAAGGTTAAGTGGTCAATATAACATAAAGCCTCAGTACAAGTGTGGCCCTAGGACCAGCAGTACTAATTATTATGAACTGGGAGCATGAATCAGAATTTGGACTTTTAACAAAATCCCCAAGTGATTCTTCGGCACACCAGTTTGAGAATCGACCATCTAGACGAGTACTGCTTGCTGCCCAACAGAATGTTCTGTGATGATGGTAGCATTCATCAGTCCTGCTTAATGTGGTAACCACTCGCCATGGCTAATACGCACTTGAAATGCGGCTAGACTGAAGGACAGCATTTTTAATTTTATCTCATTTAAACGTAACAAGTCAAATGTCTAACAGCTACTATAGCAAATGGCAGATCTAAACAACACATTTGGGTGTCAGAAGACATAATTCAGGGATCCAGCTCTCTGGCTGCACAAGAATCACAGCATTCTGTCTTCTCCTCTTAATGAAGACAAAAGCCAGGTGTTAAAAACAATCCATTTATTGGGTTTTAAACTAGGTACACAACTGAAGTAAGTTTGGCACTACTCTATACAGGGATATGCTTGTGTATGCTGACACTTAAATACTGTACCAGGACCATTACTGTGCTTAGGTCTGTATTTGAGTCATTCAGCAGGTAGATACTGAAAAATATACTGTAGTGTTCCTTTAAGGAAGACTATACAGGGTGTGTTGTAAGATGACATTCATCAATTTGTGAATTATCTCAACCTAGAAGGTACCTTGCATTCTATAAATTTTCATAGGCAAACATGTGGTGTTAGCATTTAGAGATGCCTGCAAAAAAAGATAGATAAAAATCCAGACATTCTAACAATAAATGAACTCAAACAGAAACCCACACGTCAGCTTTTGTAACATGAAAAGATAAAGAAAATAATTTAAAATCACCAAAAAAAAAAAAAAAGAGGCATTCATTTGGTACAAAAGCCAAAACCACTATAATAAAGAGCTACATGTGAATCTTTACAAATTAATTACACAATGGTGTGTAAAAGTTGCAATCTGTACATAGTCTTGCCAATTCTCTCTCTATAGTTTATACAGTCTTGTACAGCTATGTAACATATATTAAACAAATTAATTAAATATCAAGACTTATCAGTCTTTTAGCAATTCTGCTGGCATGGAAAGAAAGAAAAAAAAATTACAGAATTTCCACAAACACAGCAGTCTTCCATTTAGATGAAGTTTAACAGTTTTCAAAGAGAGTCAAACAGTATTTGTAAAGAATACAGATAGAAATCAATCACTCAGGTCTTTTATTATTGTTGTTGTTTATTTTTAAAATCAGACATTGTTTACACACATATCAATCAATCAAAGATTTATTCACCAAACCCCCGATTTTTTAGCAACTGGCTCTATTAAGCACCAAAAACTCCAGTCTGTGGGAAGCGCATAGACACAGACTTCAAATCTGTGTCTTGGTCTAGCACACTAGCAGGTTCTTAGTTATGTTCGAGACTTGCCCTCTTTTCCTTCTCTCTTCATGGATCTTGAGACCCAAGGCTCTCAAAGACTTCAGATTCACAGTCCATAGCCCTACTACCATCTAAATGCAACAGCCATTTGGAAAAAATTCAAAAAGAGTTTGAGAAGAATGAAATGACAGGACCTGGTTTACAGACGGGTAGTCTCCATACCAAGTAAACTGTTTCTTAATGAGTTTCTAGACTCTGTCTGGTCTTGGACACCATGATCATATAGGGTTATTATTTCTAGTCTAAGACTTTGTGGCTTTGTTTGATGCCTCAAAGGAAAAGTGATCAATATTCTGGAAATATTTCTGGACAAGTTAGGAAATCAAATGGCAGCCAAAAACCTGTGGAACACAGACCAATAAAACGAAACACAGAAACCACCAAAACGATGAGAGCTCAACAGAGGCAGAGGTGAAAAACCTGCAGAAAGCCGCCATAGATGGAACCTGAGGATCTGGAATTTTTGATGAAAAGAGCCCAAAGTGAGGACTACTCATCTGTATTAGAAAGGGGGGGGGAAAAAGATTTCAATTAGACAACAAGACATTCAACTCTAAAAACCCATAAATTAAACTTCCTATCTCATTAAAAAGGTTTCTGGGTCCTTCCTCATTAATAGAAAATGGGTAAATAAGTAGCTAAGAATCCAGATGAAATGATCTCACACACGTGTAGAACCCAGAGACCTCTGGGAACGCAAAACTCCCAAGAGTCACTCATGGAGCAAATAAGAATAAGATTTCTTGTTTTCTTTTACCTATTTCCAGGCTACTATATTCCCCAAAGCATCACCATCACATCAATTCACATATAAAGCAGCAAGAAAAAATTCTCTGGGAAGTGATTTCCATCAGCCATATAAAAGCCATGGCCTACAAAGTCATGTTCAAAAATAAATAAAAATATAAATCTTCAAATAATGACATTCAAGAATGTTAGCAAAAAGAAAAAAACTCATGACATGCCCATTCCTTGGTCACCAAACCAATGAATGACATTTGCCTGAAGAATGTCAGACTTTTTTAAACTCAGAACTTTGCTGACCTACCTGTTCTATGCATAATAGCATGGTGACACAAGGAGATCGGTGAGAACAAGCAGCTGGTCATCAGTAAATTGCTGTTTATGTTCTTGCCAGTTGTCATGATGCGTCCTTCGGAAATTGGATAAGGTCTTTTTTACAGTCATCTGCAGAGTAGGCAACCCAGATACATTTTAACCCTCTGCACACTCAGGTTATATTTAGGATGCCTTTAGCTACCTAATAGCCTGTCTAGGATTCAGATCTTACATGTTTCTGAGTGTTACAAAACCAAAAAGCCAATCTCACTTCCCAACACCACTAAATTCACTTCTCTGAATTACTAGCTACATAAGCACTCAGTCCACATTATTAAGCCAGTTTCAGTACATATTTACATCTGTTTTCCAAGGTAAAGGGAACTTTGTCTTTGGTCTTCTGAAATGTTTAACTTAGGTGTTCACTTGTTGTTGTTGTTGTTATGTGCTGTCGAGTCAGACCTGACTCATAACGACCCCTCCTTGGGTTTCCGAGGCAGTATCACTATGGAAGTAGATTGCCCCATCTTCCTTCCGAGGAGTGGGTGGTGGGTTTGAACCGCCAGCCTTCTGGTTAGCAGTCAAGTGCCTTAGCCACTATGCTACCAGAGCTCCCAAGGTGTTCACTAGTAAATAATAACATAACAATTTCCAGTTTAAAGTTAGCTTCTAATGAGATTATTAAACCCATGTGCACTGCCATCCCAATTCCAACTAATAGTGACCCCTATAGGACAGAGCAGAACTGGCCCATAGGGTTTCCAAGGCTATAAATCTTTATAGAAGCAGACTGCCACATCTTTCTCCCATGGGGTGGCTGGTGGGTTCAAACCTCTGACCTCTGATTAGCAGCTGAAACCCTAACCACTGTGCCATAAGGATGAGATATTTACCAGATACAAAATACTAGGAAAACAGAAGCATAAAGTTTATTCTGACTGAAAGTACTAAAAATACTTTACTTTCATCAGCCTAGGAGCAAGAGAAACTATAGTGCTTTCTTTGCTACCAAAAGATTGCAAGGTCTCTGCAAAATTCAAATACTTATTACTGAGGAGATGTGGCTCTGGCAGAGGCAGTAGTTTTATTGGAGATGGTTCAGAGTATGGAAGAAATTATTAATATAAATGTTTTCTTTAAAAAAAAAAAAAAATCACTAATCTTATATACATAAAGAAACTAACAAGAATTTTACCTCAATAGGCTGAGGATCATTCAGATGTGCACTGAGATTCATAAGGAGCTGGGGCATCCAGGTGGGAACATCATAAGGACTAGAAAGAACACAGGCACCAAGTCCTAGGACCCCAGCATGGCGTTTAACCAACTCTGCAAAGAAAATCAATATACATGTGTAAACATATATTGTACTTGTTACAGTGAAATAAATTAGTTTTCAGTTATGCTAGTTGTTTTCAAAGTGTGAATTTCTTCAAATAAAATAAATCTACAAAGGAAGGTAAGAATGGTTATACAACTCAAAGAATGTAACCAATACCACTCACTATATGCTGTATATAGAAACTGCTGAAGTGGTGCACGTTTTGCTATGTATATTCTCTGCAACGTATATTCTCTACAATAGTTATATATATATATATATAAATAAAAATCTATGTGTGCACAAAGGAGCTCTGGTGGCATACTGCCTAAGGCTAACCAGAAAGTTGGCAGTTCAAACCCACCAGCCACTCCATGGAAGACTGGGAAATCTACTTCCATAAAGATTTACCACCTTGGAAACCCAAAAAGGGGACTCAATGAGTCAAAATCGACTTGAGGGCAGTGAGTTTGTTTTTTGTTTTTATGTGTACACACATCAAAAACATGATTTTGAAGCTGAACTCAGTTTATCAAGACATCCTACAGCTGTCCTTCACACAGCTGTCCTTCAGAGAGCATAACTGTACCGAGGCCAGAAATATGTCAAGTATGTGCTATAACTAATAAAGCAATGGCTTTTCTGATTTATCCCTATCATTAGCCATCCTCAGTTCCTAAAACAATCTCCAATCAAAGTTAAACAGCATTTTACTGGATGTGAGTATCCCATTTAGTATGCATCAGTTCTTTAGGTAAACATTTCATGTCTGAGGAATATTTGCCTTTCTCAAAACTTGGAACTGCAATGTGCGTGCATTCTACTCTTTCTTCAGTGGCATAGTTACATTGAAGTGCTTTCAAATTCTCACTGTTTCTTAATAAAGGTGCATTTATGTATGTGTTTAATAAGTGCATTCTACGTGTATATACAAAGCATGTAGGATGGGAAGTAAACCATAAGGAAAAGGAATTTAGGATCATAAAAAATAGTAAACAATGCCATTTGGTTTAACAAAGACCTAAAAATAAATACTAGATTGTAGAACAGTATTTTATTTGCATTTGCTATTAGATAACTACATGGCATAATTAAGACCCCAAAGAAGCTTGCAGGTGCCAAACTCAAATTTATACACATGGAACTGATTTAAAAATAGCCACAAATAAGCGTATTTTTAGCCACTTAGAACCTGCCTGGTTTATATACCCCTTGAAACTGCATCCAACATCTGGCAGCCATAGATAAGATAAAATCCTCTTATTATAAGGAGCCTAGGATGCTGCTGTTCTTCAGAACTCTCTGACCCAGAGACTCCCATCTTGATGAAGGAGAAACACTGCATAAGATGCATATAAGCCTAGGGATTTTCCTGTCCTCTTCCCCTTTTGGTGGCTTCCTGCCTTTGCCTTTGACACCTCCAGCTGTGGGGTATCACTTCCCTGCATGAACCTGTAAATGCCTCTGCCTCAGTAAGTAACTTGCTATGCAAAGCTACCTCATGGTTATGTGTTTTTTTCTTGGTCAGCCTCAAAGTCCCTCAAACTCACTATACAGCTTCATATTCCAAGCACTTTACACTTCTGTGAATTCATTAAGCCACATACTTGCTGATAATCTTTCCATGTATGTTCTATTATTACTGACCTGCTTATTTGAAGAGTTTCTCTTTTCATACACCTACACACAAGTTACAAATTCTAAAAACAGATCTTTCAGATACCCTAAAATAATGAATTCTAGACGCTTCTCCTTATAAGGCTATTTGGTGTGTGTGTATGGTGGGGCGGGTCTTGATTTATTTTAATAGTTGTATGCACAGTTAAAAGAGCTCTGTTGGCTCAATGGCTAAGTGTTCAGTTGCTAAATGAAAGGTCTGTAGTTTGAACCCACCAGCAGCTACTTGGGAGAAAGACCTGGTGATAACTAATAAAGCAATGGCTTTTCTGATTTATCCCTATCATTATCCCTATCATTAGTCTACAGCCGGGAAACATTCTAGGGCAGTTCTACTCTGTCTTATAATGTAGCTCTGGACGGCACACAACAACAATATGAAGCAATGTACAGGTTCCTTTGTAATGATCTCAATCTTAGGTCTTACAGATCTTATCTGCAGAGTCCCAAACTTAACTGAATAACTGAAAAAGCCTGGTTTATTTCCAAAAGGGTAAGGGTGCTTTCTACCAGCAATGTTACCTGCAGAAGGAATGGTATCTCCTAGAGAACCAGGGTCTCGTTTTCGTTTCTTGGGTAGTTTTGTTTTGCAAAGTTGCTCAAAATGAATCTGCATAGGACTATCCATGGTAAGGAAGTTACACTGTAACAGACCGCTTAAGGTAGTAGCAGCCATTTCTCGAACCTGTAGAGATAATCACTTCTGTTAGAGCAAAGATTTTAAGCCTGGGGGAATAACAGAGGGTGAGGGGTTGGCACGGGACCTGAGCTGGGGGGTGTTTCCTGAAATTTGAGCCCAAAATTGTGTGTATGCTTTTGTGCAACTTCTTGATCAATTTGATCATATTCTCAAAAGGTCTGTGGCCTCAAAATAGATAAAAGCCACTGCATTAGGGTAAAAGAAAGTAAATGTTTAACTATTTTATGAAAAAATTTATTTCTCTGTAACTTATCTCCCACTGCTGACTGACAGTGCTTCTTAACAGTGCTGTAACTGTAAAAGGCAGTACTGAATCACGGCATTCTTTTCCTAGATGCTCTCTTAAAACCACTGCTGCTGTTTTGTTAAACAATATAGAACAATACACAATTTCCACACTGGTACACACCACAGAGATTTATATCCAAGTTGTCTGTTAACCTCACTATGTTAGGCCCAAGATGGGGTCATTTATACTAAGCCCCACATCAGCAAACTCATAACTAGCTGGTTACCATTTTCTGTAAATGGCTGACCTTCCCAGGAGCTAAAACTCTCCCCAAAATGGAATCTTAAGCTAGTCAATCAGGACTTGTCTGCTCTATTTAACCCAGTTCAAAATTTCCCCATGATCCCAAGTAAGGAAAATGCCCACCAGGCAGTTGATTTGAAATTTGCCCGGTATAGTTTCCTTGTCCCTGTGTACCCGTGACTGTAAAACCCTTTTGTTTTGAATCACTTTCAGCAGCCATTCATGAACTGAAAAATAAAGCTTATGAATTCATATACAAATTTAACATTGTGGAAATTTTAATTTTTAACAGATCTGTATCAAATCTACTTATGAATGCCACAGGCTGTTGTCAGACTACAAGCACAGGTTATACAAGTACTAAATGAAGAGCATATAAAAGTCAACTTCAAATTAAAACAAGAATTTCAGTTTTGGAAAGACCAAAAAAAGCTATAAAAAGTTATTGCAAAAAAATCACAAAAATTTCTACTAAATATTCATAAAGATATGCAACAATTTACTTAAAATTTTCTGCTTTCCTTCAAAAAGTTTTTTCATAAGTTTGTTTTTCATCATTGTTACAGTATAGTCTATGTATGTAGGTACATGGCATTTTCTTTGCTACTGTTCATTCCACTGTATAAAATACATTATAAAATGTTTTGCTTTATTTTCTACAAAGCTTACATACCACAAATTTATTTTTATATTCAACTACTGATTAAACTTCTTACGTTACAAAATATTCTTCCATATTGCTAAGTATTTTCTCAGGACAAGTCCAATAACCGGGATTAACAAATTTTAAGGTGTAAATCATTTTACTGTCACCAGTCTTTTTCCCCACAAGAGATACTTACTAACTGTGACACAAAACTAAATATGGAGTACTATTTACACCACACCAATACCGCTTATCATCATTACATACTTTTGCTTGAGAAAGAAGTAAATTAAGAATAACTAAAAAAGTGTCTTAATGTTTTTAGTTTAATTATTGCGAGGTCTGACTCTTACTTAAAGCTTGCTGTGTTTAACTATACATATATTCCATTGCCATCACTTATCTACTCCATAGATGGTCTTGGTGATTTTATGCTACAATGCTTTTCTTTAGTCTGAAAAGTAGTTAAATAGTTATCCCTGCTAGAAGTTCATATAAATATTCAAATCCATTTTCTCTTAGGTTCTCTACTAGAATTATTTCTTTAATACATCTGGGATATATTCTTGATTGATAGAAACTTTTCTTTTTCTCCAAACATTAACTAAATCACACCAAAACCTCCAACTGAATTATTTTCTTTGATAGTAGTAGGGTTTACATCTGGTGTATTTCAATCCAGGATCAGTTTGTACACATCTATAATGAATGTGATAAGGTAAGCTAAGGAAAAAGAACATACTTAGCTTACCTAGCTTTTCCATCCATAAAAATGCTATCTCACTCTACTTCTAAAAATTTTCATTTAAATCCAGTAAAGGTTTCTTTCAATACTACCATAATTACGATTTAGCTAATTACTACTAGTATACAGTATCAAAAGGAGCTCTGGTGGTGCAGTGGTTAAGTGCTTGCTCAGCTGCTAAATGAAAAGCCGGTAGTTTGAACCCATCAGCTGTTCTGCAGGAGAAAGATGAGGCACATTCAGCTTCTTTAAAGATTTACAGCCTTGGAAACTTTATAGGGCAGTTCTACTCTGTCCTATACTCTGTTGCTATGAGTCAGAATCGATTCAATGGCAATGGGTTTTTTGATTTATATAGTGCTGGATTTCTAAAATATATTATGGCGTTTTTAGAGATACTAACTAACTGTGACACAAAACTAAATATGGAGTACTAGTTACACCACACCCATACTGCTTACCATCATTACACACTTCTGTTTGAGAAAGAATTAAGAGTAACTAATGTTGAGTCAATTACAACTCATAGTAATACTATATTTACTTGTAATAGGTAGAACTGCCTATTACAGGGTAGACAGACAGGGTAGAACTGCCCCAGAAGGTTTCCAAGGCTGTGATTAACGGAAGCAGGCTGCCACATCTTTCTCCCATAGCACAGGCTGGTGGGTTCAAACTCCTGAACTTTCAGTTAGCAGCTGAACTGCTTAACCCACTGTAGCACCAGTGCTCCTTGACTGTGTTTAAAGAAATAGCTAAGTTTTAAGCCTACAACATGGAAGGAAATGTAAAAACAATACATAAAAATATTCTACAAGCTCCATAAAACAGTAAATTTTAATGCATGTATTATAACAATTAAAGTAAGAAAACACTGACTCAAGATTTCCTTCCTTTTAATTTATATATATATATATATATATATATATATATATGAAAGAAATGTTTTTTAAAATTTAGATAGCTGTAAAAAATTTTAATTAAAGCCTGTTCAAGTGATTATCACTAATCTGTGAGTCCCCAAGGGATCAGACCACACTACCCCCTTTCTAGAATGCAAGGAAACTGGATTGCAAATCAAATAGGCTCTTAGGAAGGTGGAGAAGTTTCCATTCCCAATTTTCTATTGATACAATTTATTTTCAATGCCCTTAAGTAAAAATTTCACAAAAACTGCATTTTCTTTACTGAGGCCAATTTAAACTATATCTTATTCCATATTTATTGCAACATGCTTTGCTTATATAAGGCTATTTGAAGTAACAGATTATCTTTTTGTACAAAATATTAATGTAACCTCAACCATAAAAATTACCTTTAATTTCTCTACAAAAGAAAAGCAAAAGGGGGCAATAATCCTATCAAGTCTCCTGGAAAACAGCATGTATGTGTAGAATTTCACTCTCTTCAAAGTGCCTTCATGTACAATGTCAGCAATCCCTTACCAAATCAGTAAGATACGTAGGGTATCATCATGCCTAATTTCATAAATTGAAAAAACTCTAGTTCACAAAAGTTACTTCCCAACTGCAAAGAGAAACCACAATAAGAAGGTGCCAAATGTTTTTTCCATTAAACTACAGGAAATCATGATTGGGACTCAAAACTATTCACGTAAGGTTTATGTTAAAATTAAAGTTACTTTTAATAATTTATAGACAAAAAGAATACATTATATCTTATCAGTATGCAGATACTTTTCCAAAGAGGCACCATGCTCTTTTCTTTAAATTTATTTAATTTCTATTTAGTATAACTTTAATTTTACCTCTAATTGTTCATCCTCCAAAAGACTTATAACCAGCCACCTGATATCTTTAACTGCATCTTCATTGTTTAAGAAAATAAAGAGGTTATAAAATACCATGGTCTGGAGGTAGGTCAGTACTGTATATCTAGCATGCCAAGAACTGCTTCTTGCTGTCTGTGAATAAGAAACAAATAAGATGAAGACAGCGCCGACAAGAATATCAGATAACTGACAATGACGATACACACAAATACTGTAATATTTTAATTTAATTCTGTTTTCACAGGTATAGTTATGGCAAACTCACATTATATTTGTTTCTATATAAAATGTTGCATGGGCCATTTCAGGTAAAGTTAGTTATTCAGAATATATAAAGGGTTAAGGGTAAAGGAACAATTTTAGAAGAGAGCTACTCATGATTAGTGACTCTACATAGTTTTTGTATTGTTGTTTTTTGCTGTCGAGTCGGCCACGACTCCTAGTGACCCCTCCTTGGGTTTCCGAGGCAGTATCACTACGGAAGTAGGATTGCCCAACCTTCCTTCCGAGGAGTGGCTGGTGGG